TGTTGAATTCATCCTTCACGGCACGCAAGCCTACTTTAGGGATCGATACAAGAAAATTGGTCCGTCCATGGCCGATAACAACATAGTGTTTGGCAACGTAGTGACAAAGTACATGGAAGATAAAATCAAAAAGGCACGGAGACATAGAGTTGTTGCTCAAGGCACACAAGTGCATCGGTATGAAATAATGTGTGTTGATAGGAGCAGGCGTGGTATCTATCGCAAGCAAGCCGTGCAGGAATGTGTCTTGAAGGCGGATGGTGGATGTACCTGCAGTTGTATGAAGCCGAAGCTTCATCACCTTCCTTGCTCACACGTTCTTGCTGCTGCCGGTGATTGTGGCATATCTCCCAATGTGTACGTCTCAAATTATTTCAGGAAAGAAGCAATCTTTCATACATGGAGTGAGGAGATATATGGGTTCGGGATCTCAGGATCTTACACAACGCTGAGTGCCCAAGTTTTTTATATTCCAGATCCATCTAAGTTTAGGGTGAAAAAGGGTCGACGCCAAACTAGACGCATCAGAAATGATATGGATGAGTCAGAAGCAGGTGGGAGGACTTTACGCTGCAGCAAGTGTGATCTGCGCGGCCATACTTACAAGACATGCCCGAAGAATGCAGAAGTTCCAAGCGGCGCAGATGCTAGTCCATCTGGACAGGCAAGTGATGGTAGGCGACCACCTGGTGAAGGAACAACAAGCAGGCGCGCAAGGCCAAGGCGTCGTCGCGCAGCAGGCGATTCCATGGTGTAACAATGCTTTCGATTTAGGAAATAAAATGATGTAATGAGTGTTCGGACTAAATACTTCTATCGTGTAATTTCAATTCAATCTTGTTGTAATGAGTACCTCCGACTATTGTTGTACTAGTAGTATTGCGAACTATTCGGTGTTGTATCATAATGTTATCGTGATGAGTGTTCGGACTAAACACTTTTGTTTGTTTGTACTCTTGTTTAATATGTGTTAGTAATTCGCTTATGAACATTTATTACTTATGTTGAACTAATTATTTATATGTTTCTGATCAACCTATTTGATGCAGGTATGGCGTACGACACACCGGCGCTGTTGAACCGTGGGATTGACAGGAACCACCGCTCGTTCCTGTCAGCAGTCGAGGGTGCACAGCTCGGCACCTTCCGTCCACGCACGTCGCGCGAGTGGTTGCGTGTCGACCCCCGTCACGTTCCTTGGTACGCGTATGTTCACATTTCAACTCAACTTTGCTTTGTTTTATACTTATGTTTGAAGTTTGCTCTATACAGGTTGCGTGCGGCAGGCCTTCTACCACTTTGTAGGCTTGTTGAGGCGGCGGCGGACGACCGTGACCCAGCGAAGCGGTGGGATGCAGACCGGTCACTCCTTGCCGCTCTTGTAGACCGCTGGAGACCTGAGACGCACACGTTCCACCTTCCCTGTGGGGAGATGGCTCCGACACTGCAGGACGTGTCGTACCTGCTCGGGCTACCGCTGGCGGGAGCACCAGTTGGTCCCATCGACGGTGTTTTTGGGTGGAAGGAGGATATCACTGCGCGCTTCGAGCAGGTGATGCGCCTTCCACACCTAGGACCGACCACCACCCTTCCTCCGTACTCTACAGTCGGGCCTAGCAAGGCTTGGTTGCTCCAGTTCACTGTAAGTAAATAAGTTGTTATTATCATACGTGCTTATTTGCGACCGGATCAGTGTTTTGTACTAACATTTCATTCTTAACTGTAGGCGGACCTTCTGCACCCTGACGCTGATGATTACTCGGTCCGACGCTCCCTTGAGGCGTACCTGTTGTGGTTGTTCGGGTGGGTGATGTTCACTAGCACCCACGGGCACGCTGTGGACTTCCGGCTGGTCCACTACGCACGGTCCATCGCGGATGCTCAGCCACAGGACGTGCCGCAGTGGAGCTGGGGTTCTGCCGTGCTAGCAGCCACGTACCGTGCCCTCTGTGAGGCGTGCACGAAGACTGACGCGGGAGCGATCATCGCTGGCTGTCCTATGTTGCTTCAGCTTTGGGCAGCCGAGAGGTTTGCCATAGGGCGACCAGTGGTGGACAGCGCACCCTACGGGGTTGGTCGCAGCGCGCAGTGGCCAGAGGACGGTCCCACGATGGGGACTTACTGGTGTCGACGTGGGGTTAGTGCAACTTCGCTGCGTTATAAGTTTATCAGTCCTCTTCTTTTTTTTTCCTTCACATAACATGTCTAATTCCGATCATGTTTATTGCAGCGTCGTTACGCTCACGTCCAGGTGAGACGTGGTTACCCGGACTTCGTGTTCGAGTTTGACCGTCTCCAGCCGAGCGACGTCATCTGGGAGCCGTACACAGAAGAGGCCGTCGCTGCGAGAGCACCACTAGGACTTTCGTCCTTGTGCACACGCGACCAGGCTTACTGGCTCACCATCCTGCCGATGGTGTTCGACATTTTCGTTGAGCCTCACTGGCCGCAGCGTGTGATGAGACAGTTCGGACTTAGGCAGGTGTTTCCCGGCAACGTGCAGCCGACCGTCCCCCCTGCCGACCACTCGTGAGTTCGGATTGTTCATTTCTAAATTTTTATGATAATTACATCATCGAGCCATACAATTTACCTCTCTTCACAGGTTGACTCGACGGGGACAGCTAGCAGGCGCACTTTGGGCTCCACGTGTACAGCAGTACGTTGACGACTGGGTGTTAGCTACAGAGGAGGTGATCAACGAGCTCTTCCCACACACGGAGGAGAACTACCGTGACTACCTTCGCTGGTACCTTCCTCGCACTCGTGCGCGTGTGACCTTCACTCCAGACGCCCCAGAGCCGCACGTTGCCGCTGTCACGGACGCGTATCCCACGCACCGTGACCGAGACTACTTCGTGGCGGTACGTCCAATTTGTATTACTTCCAACAATTATGTCATTTATCTTGCATAATATAGGACAACTACTGAATTTTTTATTTCCATCTTGCATAGGCTGATGCGGCACGGGATATCAGTGCCGATATCACCGCAGTCCAGGTGAGGTTGAACAGAGGTTTGCACTTGACTGACGTTGAGCAGAGGTCGACCTTCGACCGGATGCAGGAGAAGATGCGTGCGGTCATGCGCGTCTTCTCCTGTCGCAGCGCCGTGGACGTCGTACCTCCAGCTGGTCCGGTACACCCACGGCCTCGCGGTCCTACCGTCGGAGCAGGACCTCGTTTGTCTTCGAGCGCCCCTAGCTTCGGAGCAGTGCGACCTACAGCACCGGTTTCGCACGGTACAGTTCAGCCCAGATATTAGTTCATTTTTGTTTCAGCTTTTGCACGAATGTGTCACCATGTTTTAACTGCACGTTTCCTCATCGCAGGACCTCGTATGCCTTCGAGCGCGTTCGCAGGCACGACCGGCGCTTCCGCGAGCTCCGCAGGGGCGTTCGCCACCTCTTCAGGCGCGTTCGCCAGCTCTTCCTCTCACGGAGCGTCGATCCCTCGCCCACACGGTACTTTACTTTTTATTAATACTGTTAAATACCTATACGAAACTGATGGTCCTTGTCCAGCAGGATTTGCAGCCGGGATCTTCGGTACTGGGGCCTCTTCGTCTCACGCCGGTAGGACTGGTCCTACTAGCCAGTTCTACGACGACGACTTGCACGGTGCAGACCACCAGGACGTACTAGGCTCCTCTCAGCTTGGAGGAGCTCCAGAGGCGCACACTCAGGAGCAGCCAGAGGTCACACCTGTACAGGCAGGACGGGTTGGCCGTGCCGTACCCCCGGACCGACTCACGTACTCCCAGGGGCACATTAGGGCGCAGGGTAGGAGGGACAGGGGTAAGAGGCCTCGTCAGTAGTGTTCTACCTCTTCAGTCCTTATGTGACCGTTTCTTTTGGCTTACAAACTTGTAAAGCAGTACTACTTTTGCTATTACTACTGCAGTACTACTTGTGTTTGTCTCGTCTACGTAGTTCTTTTCATTCGTATGGTGCTTGAACAACTTATGCTCACAACAACACACTTTCGGCGCTTCACGGTAGTGCCATATCCAGTAGCGCGCACAGTCCACAACAGCACACATGAAAAGCGGCAGCTCGAGTTATCACTATCAACTTTCGGCGCTGCCTGTTGACATAAAGTGAATCACGCCCACGCGTGATCGTCTTGTCACATCTAATGAATAATGTATCTCATTGAGTTCACATATATTGCAGTGAAAACGACGCTATATAATTGACAATCTGAAGGCAACCTCTTCATATCTTCTTTCCCACTACCACACCACACACGAAAATGGAAGCCTATTAATTGGTAATACGTAATCTAGAATTGAGATTATGTACAACATTCTTCACTACAATTTTACATTTTGGCAGCAAACCAAATATGATCAAATGCAATTTTACCTTACCAAATATTTGGTAGTGCCAAAACTTGCTTATATTTTGGCATTAACAAAATATTTGTACGGTAACATTCCAAATATGCCCTAAAAAATAATAAAATTGTATTTTACCAATCTTGGAGATTTTAATCTTGTATAGTTTTCAATATAAAAAGATTTGATAACTATTGATATTTATATAAAAAAAATATAGAGCACAGTACAAAATCGCCCTCCCCCAGGGCGGCAAGGGGGCCGCCTGCAAAATTCCATGCCCCCTCGCCGCCCATTTGCAGGCGGGCCCCCGCACAGTGCAAAATCGCCCTCGCGGAGGGCGGCAAGGGGGCCGCCTGCAAATTTCCATGCCCCCCCTCGCCGCCCATTTGCAGGCGGCCCCCCGCACAGTACAAAATCGCCCTCGCGGAGGGCGGCAAGGGGGCCGCCTGCAAATTTCGTTGACGGCCGTCGCCCGAGAGCGAACGGCCGTCTGCCACGTCATTTTCGCCGCCCTCTGGGAGGGCGATTTTTAAAAATCGCCCTCCCAGAGGGCGGTAGGCGACTATTTCCGTCAATTTTCAAAATGGAAAATTATTTTTGTAAAACTTTTAATAAAAAAAATTATAAATAAAAAAAATTCTATATTCGAGCCTGGTCACGCTCCGTGCTGTCTCCTCTCTCTCTCTCTCTCTCTCTCTTTCCCTCTCGACGGCAGCGGCGGCTTCGGCGGCGCGGCGGAGGCGGAGATGGCCCACCGGCTGCTGCGGGACGCGCAGGCGGACGGGTGGGAGCGTTCCGACTTCCCCATCATCTGCGAGTCCTGCCTCGGCGACAACCCCTACGTTCGCATGGTATCGTAACCTCGCCCCCAAACCCTAACCCTCTCTGGTTGATTTGATTCCTCCGCGTGGCCGTGGGTGGGTTGGCGTTGCGGCCGAGGGATTTGTAATCTGGGCTGGTTTGGTGCGGTTTCTGTTGTGTGTGTTGGGGACTTGCGGGTAGATCGGCTGCAAACCTAGGTGTTTGATTCGGCGGACTGAGCGTTACAGTCAGTGTGTAGCAATTTTAGTTGAGACCAACTAAAATGATTGTTGATAGTTCTATCAGAGCTCTGAGGTGAATTTAACTTCTTCATTTTCATGTCAGTTAGTATAATTAGAGAAATTGGTGTGCTTGTGTTGCAATGAAGTCAGCATGATTATAAAAGTTGTTTCAAGTAATTTGGCGTAGCTAACAGAATGAGAAATTATCAAGCTAAGACATTGAATTAGGGTCCAAGAATGTGTCCTAGATGTCAGACATTGGCTGCCTTAATCAAATTATCCTTGTTTTCATCTTTACTTTCCTTCATTTCTTGACGTAGGCACAAGATTTACTGGCTTTCTTGTTTTCTTGGCAGTTAAGAGCAGAATACGATAAAGAGTGCAAAATATGTGCACGTCCTTTTACTGTCTTCCGTTGGCGACCTGGCCGGGATGCAAGGTACAAGAAGACAGAGATCTGCCAGACTTGTTGCAAACTGAAAAATGTCTGCCAGGTCTGCCTTCTAGATCTTGAATATGGTCTGCCGGTCCAGGTCAGGGATACAGCACTTTCTACTAATTCAAACGATGCAATCCCAAGGAGTGACGTGAACCGCGAGTACTTTGCAGAAGAGCATGATCGCAGGGTATGTCTCCTTTTTCATCACTTATCATTTATATTATTCTAAACCAACATTCAGAAATTACAATACTCAACTAAATATTGTTTACATCCATATCCCTGTTCTTTTTTCACTTTTTTTCCTCCTGCAACCAGGTGTGTCCCCAGTGTTCTTCGTTTCTTACTGTCTTCTACTGTAGGAGTAGGATAACACATTAAAGAAATGAATGGGCTTTCTTTACACCAGAAATCAATGGTCTACCATGATCCACTGAGAAATGCAAAATGAATGCACCTTAAGCTTATGGATCTCAATAACAAAATTGTTCACTTTTTGAAGTACTCTGATCTGACAGATTACCTACACGTGTTTTCTGATTACATCATTCATGAGCAACTTATTTTTCTCCATTGCTTTGCTAATGGTATGCATTGTTTATCAAAAATGTAGGCCAGAGCTGGAATTGATTATGACTCTTCCAATGGTAAGGCACGTGCCAACGACACCATTCTGAAACTCCAGAGAACAGCGCCATATTACAAGAGGAATCGAGCCCATGTCTGTAGTTTCTATGTGCGTGGTGAATGTACAAGAGGTGCTGAATGCCCTTATCGACATGAGATGCCTGAAACTGGAGAGTTATCTCAGCAGAACATCAAAGATCGTTACTACGGGTATGTTTGTAGTGATTGTGCATACAATTTTTCGAATTGCATGTTTCTTGTAGTTCTCTATAGATATTGCTGTATTTCTATATCTCATTCAGAGGCAACGATTATTCAATTAACGATTATTTCATCATTGTACTCCAAAGATGCATATTGATCTCTTTTTGTACCTTTTAGACCTGTTATTTCTATTTTTTATATTAAGATTGTATCATCAGAATTAAATCCCTGTGTAGTGTCTCAGGATGCAAACCAGCATATGCAGTTACTTGTACCTCTGGATATGAATTGTATCAAAAATGTCTATGGATTGATAAAGTAAAAGAGATATTTCTATATTTCAATTAATTTCTCTATCCAAACATGGATGAAAATTGGGCTTATCTATATCTATACTCCTTCAAACATTCCTAGTGGTGGCGGTAGTTCTGCCTCCACCACCACCAACTGACATGTGGTGCATGAGATTGGTGGCTCCCACATGAGCACTCTGCAGTTCCCCTTTCCCCTTTCCTAGCCATTTGACTTGCTTACAGTGGGAGCCTTGTGAGGGTCAAGTGTTCCAGTTGGGCTGATCGAGGAAGCGGCGGCTGCCTTGGTTGGCAGAAGAATCAAGGGCATCGCTTGGAGTCACTGATACAGGCCACCACATGCAGTTGTTTTCAGCGGACAAGCCAAGGCGCTGTCCCATGGATGGAGTGATGGCATGATGGGGAGGCGAGGGAGCTGATGCTGTGATGGGAGGTGGAGGCCCTCTACGGGAGAGGAGGCTGGAGGTGAAGGCATCCACCGTGTGCTGCTCTCTCCACGAGTGAGTTAGCAGAGCTCAGGTGTGCTACTTGGATTGGAAGAGGAATGGGAAAGAACCTGTCAATGCCTTCACGTGAGCTGACTTGTATCCTCTCAAGTTCGAATGTCGTCACTAGCAGCAGGTGCAGGAGACGTTGTCCAGAGTTGAGACAAAGAAAGAGAAAGGATTTAGAAGGGAGAATATGGAGAAGGGAGGAAGAAAAGCAGGCAGTGCTGGTGCAGCTTTTGCGAGGAAGAACTTCTGTGGTCAATTTTCTTATTGCTTTGCTTTTCATCGCCTCGATCAAATAAAACAGAATCACAAACACAAAATATATCTACAGTACGAGGCAATGGTTTTCTTACGCAGATACCATATGAGATTATCTGTATTATATCTTGTATCATATACTCCATTTTGGATTCTTTTGGTGACATGTTTTTATTCGGATTGGGTCGTAAGTCCTATATTCATGAACTTAGATTTATGGGGTCCATGAAGGATCCAAAATATTTCCTGACACCGAGCAAAACTATGAATGAAAATTATAGGCATTAATGACCTTCCTCGATCAGGTCAATGTGGTTCCTGCTAGCTGAAATTTGTGCAAGATGAGAAGCTTCATTCAAATCTTTGCCTTTTCACTTTTCAGATGAAGAACACTGCCCAGCCAAGTAGAGGCCAGATGTTCTTCTTATGATCAAGAGAGCTCATAATTATGTTTTATGTTAAACGATCTGTTACAACACATGGGTATCTTGTTAGATGCACACCAAGCACAGATCTATAAAATCATGTTCATGAGATGAACTGACTTACTCCCTGTTACAAGCGGGGTTAAACCTCTGTACTCATTGGTTCATATTGCACTTAGTCCTCTCTATATATTATTTCTTCTGCGTTCTCTGACATATTATTTTCTTACACTTTGCAGAGTTAACGATCCAGTTGCTTTGAAGCTTTTGAGTAAGGCTGGTGAGATGCCATCCCTGACACCCCCAGATGATGAGAGTATAAGGACACTTTACATTGGTGGCCTTGATAGTCGAGTCACTGAGCAGGATTTGAGGGATCAATTTTATGCCCATGGTGAGATTGAGACCATAAGAATGGTTCTGCAGCGTGCTTGTGCATTTGTGACTTACACTACAAGAGAAGGTGCTGAGAAAGCTGCAGAGGAGCTCGCTAACAAGTTAGTCATCAAGGGTGTGCGTCTGAAGCTCATGTGGGGCAAGCCTCAAGCACCAAAACCGGAGGAAGATGAAGCTGGGAGGCAAGGGCATGTTGCACATGGAGGAATGCTCCCTAGGGCTGTAATATCTCAGCAGCAGAGTGGTGACCAGCCTCAACCTCCTGGGATGGAAGGCCAGCAGCAACCTGCTTCGGCATCATACTACTTCAACATTCCAGCACCGCCAGCGGCAGAGCGGACACTGTACCCTTCGATGGATCCCCAGAGGATGGGTGCCTTGGTCGAGTCACAGGAGGGCGATGGCAAACCAGGTCCACAGCAGGCTGGGCAAGGTCAGGCATCAAGCAGCTCAGGACAGAGTTATCCTGAGCCGCCACCACCATATTACCATGGTGGTCAGTATCCCCCCTACTATCCACCTTATGGCGGTTACATGCCCCCACCTCGCATGCCATACCAGCAGCCACCACAGTACCCAGCTTATCAACCTATGCTGGCACCACCAGCACAGTCGCAAGCTAGCTCATTGCAACAACCAGCACCGGCAACGCAGCAGCTGGGTCAAGGCCCTCAGCAACAGACAACCCAGAACGGAATGACTTAATCTTTTATTGGTAATGTTGTATTCCTGGAATCTGTTCTGTGGGAGATTGTAACCCTTGTTGGTAACCGGTTTTTGTATGTTCTAATTTGTGATTAGCAGTAAAACTACCCAGTATTGCTTATCTGAATCAAAAACTGAGGAACATGCTGGATCTTGTCCAGCCATTAAATTTTGTTCCGTTAACTGGGAATTGGAACTTACTCATTATCGTGCTGTTATCGTCGAGATGCAATATTGAATAACCAACTAACAGCTAATTACTGGCTAACTTGATAGTGAACTGCCTTGTTCGAAGAACAGTACAAACCGGTTTCAGGGATTAGAATCAGATTCAGGCACTACTGAAGGGACTCATAGTGAACTTATTCCAAAAAGAATTAGGAAAAAGTACATAGAAGGTCCCTCAATTTGTCATTGAGTTACAAGATCATCCCCCAACCGCAAAACCAGATATCCGACGTCCCTTAACTATTCAAAACTGGTCACAATAGGTCATTCAGTGGTTTTGACCCTGGCTTTGTCCTACATGACGGCTGAGTCAGCGTGGGACCCACGTGGGCCCCATATGTCATGTTGCCACGTCATCTCTATCCCCCTCTTCTCTTCGTCGGTTCCTCATCTGCGCATGCCTAGTCGGCGATGCTGGCGTCTAACACCTCGCCCATCCACTCCTGCACCACGGCGCACCCACTGCGACAGGTCGACGCCGTCGAACCCCGGCACCGTGTTTGCCGGCAGCTTCCCCGTGAGCATCTTGAGGAGCACCACGCCGTCGCCGTGGATGAACGCCACACCATTCGGGTCCGCCTGCGTGATGCGCACCCGCGACGTGAAGCCGAGGCATGCGCGGCGCATGGCACCGTTGCTGTCGTGGAGGAGGGAGGAGAGAGCTCCGGCGCCGACGAAGTAGAAGTAGGCACGGAGCGATGCGAGGTTCTCGTGGCGGAGGGCGGCGAGCTCGACCACCTTGTTGCCGCTTCACTTCGATCTTGTCGCTGGGCGAAGCAGGCAAGCTCGCTGGCCTCCCCGCCTCCTCGTCGGCCCAGCCTCCTCCCCCTTTGTGCGTGCTCACCGCCAGCATTCCCGTATCCTTCCTCATCGCGCGCGCGGGGTGAAGCGGGCAAGCTCGCCGGCCTCCCCGCCCCACCCTCGTCGGCCCAACCTCCTCCCTCTCCATGCGCCCGCCTCCTACCTTTTCACGCGCGATGGGCGGAGCAAGCGAGCTCGTCGGTCTCCCCGCCCTCCTCCCCAAGCCTCACCTCCTTGATCCATCTCCGTGCGTGCTCGCCGCTAGCATCCCCTCAGCCTCCCTCTTCGCGCACGCCGAGCGGAGTAGGTGAGCTCGTCGGCTGTTGGTATTTCTTAATGTCATTACTAGAAATATAATTCCCCGCAATGGCGCAGAAATACTTCTAGTATATTATGGTTACAGAGTTCATCCGCAAGCGCACGGATATACCATTGTAGCATTTCACCTGAGAGTATTTCAAGGGTATCGTATTTATTTTATCCCGTGGAAAGATCATAGTAGAGAGAACTTGACTAATAATTTATATGTTACTTGTGATAATCAAAGTCTAAGGAGGGTTTAAGATAATCCAAGGGTAGAATGACACACAAGCTATAAGTTACTCATTCTCATAATAAAATATCTAAGCTACGTGGAAAGAAAAGAGAAAGATAATATATTCATATACTTCTAGTATACATAGTATACATACATTCCAGTCATCTGATATACTAGCTAATACCCTCTATCCGATGCCCTCCTGGTACTTTGAGAAGCCACCCCTGCCGAGTTCCTTACGACAGCCCGTCATGACCATACAACCGGGACTAAATACGGAGGAGTACCCTCCCCAGGAAATTAACTTAGGACTATATACACGCGCGGAGGAATACCCGTACTAAGCTGTCACCATCAGCGGCCCACTTCTCATCCCCAGCATATAACCCCAAATAATGATATCCTGTAATCTAGACACCACGTCTAAACTACTAGATACTACTCTAATATCATCGTTATGACATAGAGTAATTGCATAAGCAAATATTGTACCCGCACCAAAGCATCTCCCAGATAAGCTAGCAGCATATTCAGTATAACATGAACATAATGTAAAGTAGGCATTCATATACTTGGAAAGTATTTCAATACCATAAATGTATAAAGAGGAGTATTCTAAATAAAGTACCAAGCTTACAAAAGAGGAAAAGAAAGCTACTAGAGCCATACCTGAACTCTTCCGAAGGCTTCCAGACTCTCGATTTCTACTCTATTCCTATTCCACTAGCTTAAGAACACTAAACTAACTTGAGAGAATATGAGAGAGCTCTTGCTTGAGGTGTGTGAGTGAAGTGAGAAGGGAAGCTCCTTTTATAGGCAGGTAATGACGGTTGTGACGGTTGGAATGGTCGGTAATACCCTCCAACCGTCATTGGGGCTTCATCTCAACCGTCCAGCCAAAACCTAGATCCAACGGCGGCACGGTGGGTTCGGCGATCAGTTTCGAGAGTCAATATTACCAAAATAGAGGAGAACTAGTTATGCTTGCAATGCATATACATGTTAGAATAATAATATACTGATCGTTAACGACCGTCAACATCGGCCTCCCTGCCCCTTCTGCTGACCCTGCCTCCTTCCTCTCCGTGCGCGCTCGCCGCCGGCCTCCCCATCTCCTCCCTCATCGCACGCTCGCCGACAGCAGCTTCCCCATGGTCTTCACTTCAATATTAGTGAACCTAATACTAGTGGAATATTATTATTCTAACATGTATATGCATTGCAAGCATAACTAGTTCTCCTCTATTTTGGTAATATTGACGGTCGAAACTGATTGCTAACGACCGTCAACAAAACCCCCCCAAGCTTGAAGCTTTGCTCGTCCCGAGTGAAGGACGAAAGGAAACAAAATCTTGGTTGTTCATCAGGAGTTGCTACTATGCTGTATATCTTAAAGGTACAGGTGCAAGGTATATGTACGCTCTCTCAGATTAAATAATCTTTGGCACGGTGGCTCATCCTTACCCCTGATTCCCACGAGACACTGCTTCTCCTTGCATTGGGCGGTTGAAAGACAGAACAACAATCAGAGCACCAATGACCCAACCTTTATTCAACTTTTATTCCGGAAGTTTTCAAATGATTTTGCAAAAGAAAGCCAAGTTCCTCATATGATTCACTCAGTCTCTCTAAGTGTATCAATATGAATTCCTCACCATTTTTGCCCTTTTTTATTCCTACCCTAAGGTTTGATATGTGAAGCTTGGTAGGGATCAAACATGGCATACTTGCATTCACATTTATTACTAAGTTAAAAACTCAGACTAAAGCAGATAACTAAACATACTTAAGATCAAGATTGTGCAAAGTGTGTGTGTGATATATGGTGGAAATGGCATATGAAGGAAATAAAGAAAATGCTTCTCCTTTGTACTTACTTCCTTCTCCCAAAAATCTTTCTTTTATTGATTAGGAGAGGGCATGACTACATTTCTTTTTTATCATGCTCATGCTTGATAGAGCATAACTTTATTTTTTTAATTTCATAACCATGCCTTTCCCTCCTTTTTTTTTCAAAAGGACTTTCTTTTTAGGAGAAGAAAGTACATGAAAGCATGGAGAATTTATTTTGATGGTAGTATGGAAATGGAATGGATAATTGCTTAGTTCCCAGTGCAGGAGTTTAGCATGTGCATATATGTGGGTGTATGATCTTGATCATAGAGCATGAGAAGTATCTACACAAGTCACAAGAATTTGACAAAATTTAATGGAATGGCAAGTAACCAAAATGGTTTAATCAAGATGGCACATTTTTTGCTCTGGTAGGAATTTACATCAAATGAGGAACTTTCAAATTTATCATTTTAAAAAACAAAACATCTGGAATTCAAGTCAAACTAGGATCAGGACCATAGCAACTCTTATTTACTATCTCATATCTTTCAACAACTTAGACTCAGATCAGCAAGTGCAGCTCATTTACCTCAGGTTCCCAGATAATTGTTGGCTATTTATATTTAACATTTAAGAGAGCACTTACCTATGAACCCATATATAAGATATATAAAACAAAGCAACTATTCATCATTTCAACAAAGAGAACTAGTTTGTCTTACCTAGCCTATCTTTTTGGTATTTTCTATTTTGCAAATTTTTATATTGTTTTTAGGTTTATAAGATGCAAATTGTAAATCAAATATGCAATTGTAAAGGGAAATATGCAATGTGATACAAGTTACCTCAGTGTGTGTGGGGGGGGGGGGAGATGTCTCCCCCCAAGCTTGGCTTTCGCTCAGGGTCCTTGATAAGGATTGAACCCTAAAAGCGGAAGTACGCTTGAAGGTCATCGTGCTGTTGCTGTATCATGTTGTTGATGTTGGTGAACTGAGCATCAGCAGTCTGTTGCCATTCTTGCGTCTGTCCTATGTGTTCCGTGAGGTTGTACTGGATGTCTACGGTCTGCACATCAAGCGTATCCATTCTCCTAGTGATTTCACCTAAGTCCCAACGAGAGGAACTTGAGCGCCATTAAGTTGGAGATGGAGGCACACCGCTTGATCTGGGGGGTTGGTTGTCCCCCCATTGTATGTCATGAGGCACATGCCATCGGTCCTCACTGGCACTTGCCCAGCTTGAGACTCTGATGCTATGGCGTGGAGCTTGGGTCCATCCGGGTGCATCCCCAGTTGGCTCCTAACCTGCCTCATACATTTGCACGAGTATTGAGGATGATGAACTTTCCCGTTCATTACTTGCTATGTTGCGCGTTTCCCTGTATGCTCTACCTGCACAAGATTCTTTTATGGTCTGCAGGGGAATGGTTAGTTCATGATAGTTGTGCAAATGATACCCCGCATTTGGCAACGGGATTTCATTTGTACAACCGGGGAAAAAGTATATCAAAGATCCATCTACTACATGTTTCAGAATATGCCCTTGCACTAAAAAATTCTCATCAATACACGGACGAGCAGCTGAGATAAAGGCTATTTGGTCACTAACAACCCCTAGCCCTTTTGCTATCCGAGTAATCAAAGAAGTGCACTCAACAAGAGCAGAGAATCTTATACTCTCTAACCATTGTCTTATCATACATTTCATAGGAGAAATTTTGATCTTTCTAACCATGGCAAACATGATAATTAATTCATCCCCCTAATGGGTCTAAGATCACCTCTAGAAAACAAAGTCATAGCAA